CCCACGACGACTACCGACGATTATCTCTATTGCGTCCCAACAACCATGCTGCCCGACCAATTTGTTTTGGTCTCAGCATCTGTGGACGAAGAAGATATCGTATTGTCGGAAACGCTCGGAGACGAGCCTGAACCACAAGAGCCCTGTCTAGTCTCTCTATGCTCAACCACACCTGACGAGGGCTACTCTCTTGACAGTGATGAATATGATCCCTATGTCGAGTTATGTTTTACATCAGAAATGTCAAAAGTAGTGTTGGATCAGACTCAACTTGCACAGCTCGACACTGATATGGTCGCAACGATGAGAGTATATGTATCCTCTGCTGCTAAACGTTCTGTGGTAGTCAAGGAAGACGACCTACTCACCAAAGCCGACATGGCAGCACACCCAAAAGAGGTTAGTGAAGCTTTGTACACTGAACTCAAGTTCTGGCTTGATAACCGGTGCTTTGAGATGTATGATTTATCCAAAGCTTCCAACATCATGACATCCAGATATGTATATAAGTGGAAGTTTGTGAAGGTAGGTACCGAGAACGTTAAAACCATCCGTCTCAGACTTGTCCTTCGTGGATTTATGGACACTGAGGCTTTCGATGTGGAAACCTTCTCGGGAACCGCTCGAAGGCAGTCCCAGAGACTCCTGGCAAGTGAGGCGGCATGCCATCCAGAATGGATCTTAGCATCCATGGATATCGACAAAGCGTTCCTCAAGGGCTTGACCTATGAGGAACTTGCCCATGCCACCGGCGAGGAAACTCGCATGGTTTGCTTCACCCTTCCACCGGGAAGTGCCCAGGTACTTCGTACACTGCCCGGCTTTTCATCCTATGACGAAAGCCGACACTGCCTCAGGTGCCTCAAGCCAGGAACGGGGACAAAGGACGCCCCAAGAGCGTTCTCTCTCAAGCTCTCTCAAGGCCTTACACCGACAAGTTATGATCCTGAATTTGAATTCAGCCAGGATCTGTCAACGGCAAAACATGTCGATGATATTAATATGACAGGCCTAGAGAAAATATATAGACGACTATGTACAACGTGTCGAAAAGGTGCTTGGCAAATGCAAGCTTAACAAACACTCATATACGAACTGCGCCGTTCGCTACATTAAGAATGACCAAGGGGATGTGATCATGGATCAGGACGAGTAGATCAAACAACTACGTCCTATCACACACCGAGAACTTACAGGAGCGGCGGCCGATGCCAAAGCCACCAAACTCATCACCGACATGTTCGTCAGCTTGCGAGGAGCCCTCGCCTATGCCCTTCTTACTCAAGTCTGGCTCATGGTACACGTGGTCTCTCAATCCAAGAGCCCACCAACCTACAAGTCAGACGACTGAATGCTGTTGCGCGAAAGCTGATCAGCAGCCCGAAACGCATCACCTTCCCTCGGATGAAGCCGACGAACGAAGTTGACATGCACAGCGATTCAGGGCATCGGAAGCTCACCGGGGAGGAGGACGATGAGACCAAGGGCTATGGCATACGCGGGGCCAACGTACTACGGCGAGGGAACTCGCCTCAAGGCAAATCCGTCGTTCACCTCTGTGACGGACTATGCAAATCACACCGACTGCAGGTGGGGTCCAGCTATGCCGCGGAGGCACTCGCAGCTGCACATAACCTTGATGAGTGTTACCCTACGCTCATCACTCTCCACGAGCTCAAGGCAGGGGCTTTGACTCCACGACAACTACGAGATATGCGTGAAGTTGGGGGCCTAGCCATTAAAGTATCTCTTACCATAGACGCTGAGTCGGTTTATAAATCGCTATCAAGCAAGGATCTTAAGATACCGACAGAACGGACCTTGCTTGGACATATCAGCTGGATACGTGAGCTCATGGATATAGGTATGGTGCATCATGTGCAGTGGTGTGATACTAGAGATATGACCGCAGATGGGCATACAAAGGGGAGCATCGATCGGGAGCTGCTTTTGGAAGTGATGTCAGGCACTCAGTCATTTAAGTATGACGTGAAGCAGTTTGTTCCTTTTCGGGGTCCCGAGGACAGAAACAAGCCTAAGTCTAATCAGTTTAAGTCTGTCCTTATTGCCCCGCGGTCCAGTTTGCCAGCATGGGCGCCTAATACAGAGGCGCCCTTCTAGGTGCTCGGAAACGAGCCTACCATTTCACGCTTGGCGACGAGCCTGTTCAGCTTGGTTCAGGCTCTTTGCCATAATATCCGTTTGCTCGGTGAGGTGTAGCCCGTTTGGCTCACCTCTAGCCGAGCCGATAGCCCTTCGACGTCCGAGGGGGCTATCTCGTATTTGCGTGAAATGCCTTGCGAGGAAACTCGCCTTACAGTCTGGTGTTAGGCCAGACTGTACGCACTGTTTTTCTTGCAAACAGTCGTGCGCGCTGCCTTTGTAGAGCCTAACGGCTGCGCGGCAATACTCTCCGTCTCCTCCCCTCCCGACTTTAAGGGTAGCTCTTTGGGAGATGTTATATAGAATCGGGAGTATAGCTCGCGCGCCGTTGCCTTTGGCTCAAGGCACGCGCGCCCTATTTGCCCGGATACCTGACTTGGTATTCGCTATGTGCTGGAAAGACCGATACATCGATCTTATCCTATCTTGCCCATCCACTCCCCATATCGTATTCCTTCGACATGGAATTGGATGCAATGTGACCTGCCAGGCTCACTTTCGACTTCGCCGTCCTTCCTCCTTCTTCGTCGTTTGCGTCGTCGCCGTCCTCCCTCCTCCCTCGTCGTTGTCGTCGTTGTCGTCGTTGTCGCCGTTGTCGTCCTCCCTCCTCCCTCGTCGTCGCCTTCGTTGGCGACGTCGTCGTCGTCGTCGTCAGCGTCGGCGCCGTCGTCGTCTTCGTCGTCGTCGTCGTCGGCGTCGTCGTCGTCGTCGTCGCCGTCGTCGTCGTCGTCGTTGTCGGCGTCGTCGGCGTCGTCGTCGTCGTCGTTGTCGTCGTTGTCGTCGTCGTCGTCGGTGCCGTCATCGTCGTCGTCGTTGTCATCGTCGTCGTTGTCGTCGTCGGTGTCGGCGTCGACGTCGTCGTCGGTGTCGTCGTCGTCGTCGCCGACGTCGGCGTCGTCGAAGTCGTTGGAGACGTCGTCGGTGTCGTCGTAGTCGTTGTCGGCGGCGTCGTCGTCGTCGTTGTCTCTGTCGTCGTCGGCGTCGCTGTCGTTGCCAAGTGCCACTTGGTACCCACCGTCACGGTCTCAAGAGATTTTGCAAACCAAGTTGCGGGTGGGTGGGTGGGATGTTTGTGCGAGCAGTGGAGTGGACAGTTCACTGCGAACAAAAATTAATTCTCCTTTTCTAAAACGAGACTAGACTCTACCCCCCCCGGACTTAACTCTTCCCCCTGTGATAGTATATGTTCATATATACATATATGTATGTATATATATATGTATATATATGTATTCTGCACACTCGTCCATACTAAATATGAAGTCGTAGCATCCCAGCTAGGCCGGTTTCCCCCCCCTGAGGTTCCTTTGTAAAAAAAACACTATGCGGTGACATTTTTTGCCCTAACATAAGATTTTTTTCCGCGAATCCCTTGCAACAGATGAAACGAAGTAGACACGCGCGCGTCGTCGCGCGCGCATGCCGAAATCCTTCAAAAACCTTCGGTGCCGCAAGGATTTCGCAATCGAGTGTCCAAACAACATACAAAAAACACAGGGTTTCGCAACACTGATTTGCTAAAAAAACTTCCGCGCGAGCTCTTGCGAAATCTTAAGAAAACCATTGTTTTTTTTCAAGATTTTCGCAAAATGCTACCAAACGGGCGTTGCGCGCGCGCATGTCGAAATCTGTCGAACGCCCTTGCGCGTGTGCCGTCGCGAGAATCCTCTGCAAAAAACGAGACGAACTGCAGACGCGCGCGTCGTCGCGCGCGTACGCCGAAATCCTTCCAAACCCATCGGTGTCGGAAGGGTTTCGAAATCGCGCGTCCAAAAAACCTACAAAAACCCAAGGTTTCGCAACACGGATTCTCAACAAAAGCATGCGCGCGCGCTCTTGCGTCGTCGTCGTCGTCGTCGTCGTCGTCGCCGTCCTCCCTCCTCCCGCGTCGTCGTCGTCGTCGCCTACGTCGTCCTCTGTCTTTCCTCGTGTTCGTCGTCGTCGTCCTCTTTGGCGTCGTGGTCGTTTCCGTCGTCGTTGTCGCCGTGGTCGTCCTTCCTCCTCCTCCCTCGTCGTCGTCGTCGTCCGTCGTCGGCGTCTCGTCGTCGTCCCTCCTATTTCGTCGCCGTCGTCGTCGTCGTCGTCGTCGTTGTCGTCGTCGTCTCGTCGTCGTCTTCCCTCCTCCCTCGTCGTTGTCGTCGTCGGCGTCGCCGTCCTTCCTGCTTCTTCGTCGTTCGCGTCGTCGCCGTCCTCCCTCCTCCCTCGTTGTCGTCGTTGTCGTCGTTGTCGTCCTCCCACCTCCCTCGTCGTCGGCGTCGTCGTCGTCGTCGGTGTCGTCGTCGTCGTCGTCGTCGTTGTTGTCGTCGTCGGAGTTGTTGGAGACGTCGTCGGTGTCGTCGTAGTCGATGTCGGCGGCGCCGTCGTCGTCGTCGTTGTCGCTGTCGTCGTCGGCGTCGGTGTCGTGGCCAAGTGCCATGTGGCACCTACCGTCACGGTCTTGTCTCAAGAGGTCTTGCGACCAAGTTGCGGGTGGGAGGGTAGGATGTTTGCACGAGCAGTGGAGAGGACAGCTTTAAGACGGTCGAAGTGAGTTGCACTACATAGGTTGCACCACATACATTGTTCCACGTACATTGCACAAACATGGATTGCGCCACATGGGTTGCACAGTATACATTGCACAGCATTCATTGCTCGCGCAACATATCCGGCACGCCATAAAATGTACAAGATATTGTGCACAAGCCAAATCGCAACACATACATCGGGCAACGTACACCGCGCAACATAGATCGCACCACATAGGTTGCACCACCTACATCGCGCCGCTTACATTGCATCACGTAGAGCGCACCACATAGATTGCTCACTGTAGATTGCAGAACATCCGTTGCCACTTTGGCTCAAGGGGCGGGCGTCGCCTATGAGCCAACGCCGCTCGCCGCCCGCCCCTGCGCGCGGGGCCGCGGCAGACGCCGTTGGCTCTGAGGTTGCGGCCTGAGGGTGGGCCACCTCCAGGCGCCTGTGGGATTCGATGTGCGCCGCTCGTGTGCTGCCTTTGCTGGCTCTGCTGTCGGCGCGCGTGCTCCGCGCCTCCGAGCACGCGGGCCTGTGCCAGAGGGCCTCCCAGGCGCTCAACGCCTACTCACCTCCTGGTTACGACATGCCCAGCTACTACCACACCATCAGTGACTTCACGGCTGGACAATCCAGTATCCTCGACGGTGGTTTGGACATGTACGACGATGGCAACAAGTTTTTCCCAGAATTATATTATACAGACGGGTGCAGTAGTGGCTACAATGCCAGAGGAGAAGTATTTTATATGGACATTGTCCAGAGTGGTATATCCGTCACGTACTTCCCATACGCCTTCGGCACATATTACGTATTCGGGGATCTCGGAGCAGACGGTGCGGGTGACTTATGGGCTTTTGAAACAGTTGGATACGTTGATGATAGCGGTGCGGTGTGGCACGGATATGTGAAGCAAGTGTTCAACGCCGTTGATCCAGCTGTCATTCATATGTGGATCACTGACGGATCGGTCAGCAGCCACAGTTACCACCATCTCACGGATCATGATGACCACACGGTCGACGGGATAAATGGCCGCTTGTTTTTCCTTGTTTGGGGACGTGCAGTCCCATCTAATACCCCCGTCAGTTTTTTTGAAGGGTTGATGAGCGCACTCGTGGCTACCATAAGCGTCACGACTACAATGACTACAAGCACGCCTTTCACCACTACAGCCACTTCGAGCGTGACAACGGTGAGCGCAACCAGCGCGACCTCTGTAACAGGCACCTCGACCAGCGCGACCTCTGTAACAGGCACCTCGACCAGCACGACCTCTGTGACAGGCACCTCGACCAGCGCGACCTCTGTAACAGGCACCTCGACCAGCGCGACCTCTGTAACAGGCACCTCGACCAGCGCGACCTCCGTGACAGGCACCTCGACCAGCGCGACCTCTGTGACAGGCACCTCGACCAGCGCGACCTCTGTGACAGGCACCTCGGCCAGCCCAACCTCTACCAGCAGCATTACCAGCAGCACCGACTCGTCCACATACACCAGCACCCTCAGCAGCAGTACCTCCCGCACCAGCCACACCGACTCCTCCACCACCCGCACAACTGCTACCGACTCGTCCACCAGCCTCACCAGCAGTACCACTTTCACCAGCAGCCTCACCCTCACATCTACATCGACGTCTCTCACGGGCACGACCATGACACAAACCTCGATGAGCCGCGAGGTAACCCTTGAAGACATCTCTAGTCTGGAGGCCTCCCTTGTCGACGCCCTGCTCGCGGGGACGGAGAGCGTCGTGGTGTTTCAGACGGGGGGGGTCACCAGCATCGCAGAGCGGCTGCAGGTCCCGTCGGATTCGTCGGTCGCAAATGTCACGGTCGATGTGCCAGGCACCGGCGTCAGCGTCAGTTTCCCGGTGTCGATGTTCGCCGCCTTAGGCTTGACGGGAGCAGTCGCAGTGGCATCCGCTCTCAACGCCGGTGCCAACAGCTTAGCGCCTGGCTCGCCGTACAACCCTGTATCCGCGGTCAGCATCATCATCACGAGCAGCAACGGAACTGCTGTCTCCGTCGCAAACCTCCCCGATCCGATCATATTATCTTTGCCCGCGAACAGCAGCGATCCGCTCTGCGCGTGGCTGGACGAGTCTGCCGCCGAGTGGAGTTTCGACGGCGTGTATCTGGGTGATGACGGGCCGGATGGCAGCGTGACGTGTGTCACAGAACACCTTACACTGTTCGCGATCCTGGACTCCTTCCTGGCGACGCTGGAGTGCAGCCAGGTCTCCCTGCTTGCACCCGATAGCTACGTCGAGCTCATGCAAACCGACTGGTACGAGAACGTGTACGCCCAGCTTCTGGTCCAGCTGCTGGTGGCCTTGGTCTGCCTGCTAGCAGCTGCCTGCGCCCTGGACCTCGTCAAGGCCCGGAATGGCTCCTGGAAGAACGAGGATTTCCTGATCGCCAACGCCGCCGCCCCGGCCGCGGGCGCAGCGGCAGCCGGACTGGTGGTCGCCGGCGGCGGGGGCTTCTGCGGGGGCTGGCTGGAAGGCGCCACGGGGGGCGCCAAGGACGCGATCGACGACCTGCTCGGGTCCATTTGGAGCTACCTCGGGGACCTCCGGGGCGTGCTGGAGGAGGTCATGGTGTGCAGCTGGGAGGGCGGATTCCTCCACGTTGCGGCCTTCGCCCTCGTCTCGCGGAGCGCCACGAGGAGCGCCTCGGCCACGACCTTCATACTGCCCGACGACGTGGACTTCCTGCTCGGCGAGGACGTGGGCGAGATGATGTCGCCACAGCAGGACAGTTCGGAGAGCCACGGAGCCAAGGACAGGGTGGAGGGGGGCGGGAGCAGCGGGCAAGGCGTGGACGGCTCGTGCCCTTCGGAGGGCAGCGAGGGTGCTGTCGCTGCCCTGGCGAGGCGCGGTGGCGGGCGGCGCCGCAGCGCAGGCTTCGACGTGGACGAGTGTGTGGCCGGCTCGAGCCGCTCAGAGGGCGGGCTCGGCCGCCGAGGTGCCCACGGGCTCTTCTCGCAGAGCGCCGTGCAGCGGCACAGGCGGCTGGTGGAGCTGAGGGAGGCCCTCCAGCGCAGCCAGGAGCTGCACGTCGCCCGCCACCGCGACTGGTGCTACGTCGCCAGGAGCACGGTGCTGTCGTGGCTGTGCCATGGCCCCATCGGGTCCGTGTTCGTCCGCAGCATTACGATATCTCATTCTATGCGTGCTCTTTTTCTGTGTACTGACCTGTTGGGGACCTTGATGCTCGCCACCGTGTTCTGCTCTGCGACTGGCGGAGCCCTCAGCAAGAAGTCAACGAAACAATGCGACGTGGATTGCGACGACGACGAAGGTTTGAGTAACTGCGTGATGATACATTTGGGGCGATTGTTGGCCATAGCTTTGGTAAGCTCCTTGGTCGCGGGTGTACCGCTCGCTTGGATTAATTCTTTGCACTCGAGGAAATTTGTTCGAGTGGCCTACGAGGGCAGCCCCGATTGGCAAAGCCAGCTCCGCAGGTGGAGGCGTGCAGATTGTGCGATCTGGGTGATTGGTATCGCCTATTGCCTCTTTGCAATCAATTTCATTTGTTTGTTTTTCGCGAATGTGGCCGAGGGGGATCAGGCCGACTGGATGATTAGCGCTGGCATCAGCCTGGCCCAGGATTTTGTCATCGTTCCCGCGGTCGTTGGTTTTGTCGTCACATTGCTCGCGATGGTATTCCTTGCGTGCGTGGCATGTGCTTACGGGGTGAAGAAGGAGCACCTCACGAAGACGGGCCGCATCGCAGTCGTCCAGGAGGTGTTCAATAGCAACAGCGACAAGCAAGTAATCAAGCGGGCGCTCGCAGAGCTCCCAGAACACACGACCATGCAACGGCGAGGGCAGCGGAACAATCCAGGCTGGCAGGGCAGACGGTTCGTCGGGGACGGCCATGGTGGCGAAGAGGAGTGGGATGATTTTGAGGTGTTCATGAGTCACGATGTTGCCTGCGTCGATCTGAGCAGCGTGCCGCAGCCGTCGGTCGAAGTGGCGGTTCGGAGGAAAGCACGGGTGAGCTGACGGAGGGCCGCGTTTCATGTACCAGTGAGTCATTGTCCACCGCCAAATGGGCTATCAGCTATTGCAAGGTTTTCGTTGGCTCGGGGCTTGTTTCTTCCCCGTATAGCTGTACGCTTTACATGTCTTGTCAAGATACCCTCATCATTCATCTGGTCCAATGAGGCCCCTCTGTGTCTGACGATCGTATCAGGGAGGACGCATACACGTCTAGCTGCACAGCTTCCCATGTGCGCTCTGGTTGCTGTCGGTCGGCAGGGCGTACGCCCGTCTAACTGCATTTGCGCATCAGCCTTCTTCAGAATTCTCGAAGGGCGCATGCTTGACGTCCAGTCGGTGCGTCGACAGCGGGACGAGGGGGGGGAGGATGAGGAAGGGGAGGGGCCTTTCGGGGGAAGGGGTACGACACATTCCTGTGCCAGGATGCCTCTTAAGATACTTGCCGATTCTGGCTGTGGCACTGGCTTGTTCCGCGGTGTAATGCGCCCAAATGGCAGCGATCCTCCGCGCAGTTGCCCAATGGCCCAATTCACAGATGGCCCAATGCACGGTCGCCGAATATTTTGCTCTCAATGGCCCAGTTTACAGATGCCATGTCACGTCCTGGCGCATTCCCTTCCCGTCCTCCTCCCGCTGCTCCCCGCCAAGACCACGGCCGGCCGCGCCCGCGGAGACTTCGACAGGCCCCTCCAGCACAGCCCAGATAGCCCCAACGTGGCCCCAGATTGGTTCCAGACCGCAGGTACACAGCCCAAGAGGCCTCCAAGAGGCCTCAAGAGACCTCCGAGAGGCGTCCCGCGAGAGCCCGGAGAGGCCCTCCCTTGATGTTCATTGGCTTTTTCTATGTTTTTCGGTGTCTATTGTTTTCGACCTTCCGACGCTCCACAACAGCCGACGACGCCCCCAAGACCGCCCCAAGACCGCCGAAGAGGCCCCCAACAGAGCCCCAAGGCGGCCACAGGGAACCCGAAAACTGCCCAGGAGGAGCCTCAGACGGCCCGAGAGAGCTCCAGGACAGACCCAAGCTGGGCCCCAGAGCGGGCGCGGGAGGCCCCCAGACACTCCAAGACGGCCCTGATGGCCCCAACGTGGCCCCCGGTGGGCCCGACACGGCCAGTACACAGCCCAAGAGCCCTTCAAGAGGCCCCAAAAGAGCTCCAAGAGGCGTCCCGAGAGAGCCCGAAGAGGGCCATATCCTTGATTCCCATACTTTTTTTCAAGTGTGTTTCGCTTTCTCGCGTTCTCGAGCTTCCAACGCTCCAAGGCGGCCGAAGACGCCCCGAAGATCGCCCCAAGACCGCCGAA